CATAAATTCCCACGTGAATGGAGATCAAAAAAAAATGGGTGGCTCAAATTCGAAAGCCGTTTCCCAAAGTACTTCCACCAAATTATACTTCTTGGGATGCCGATTTTCCAGTTCATACGTATGAAAAACGTAAATGTTTAGACTGGTGAAATTCCAGTCGCTAGTGATTGTGGTCGTGGAGGAGGTTGCAGATGGCCTGTCAGCGACTATCATGGACATTACTGATAAGCGCAGCCAGTTATGTTGCACGGCATGTTGATTGGAGGGAAAAATCTGCGGAACCCTAGTTGTATTGTCCTGATGTTTAAAAAGTTTACAGGCTTGTATCCTCAGAGGTAAGATTTGTACTGTGCTTCAAATGTTCATTGAAATGTAGAATCTAGCCGTAGAAAGTCATGTCCGGTTCACTCACTTTCAGGTCATGCGCCTAATAATTTCCTTGAATTTTTCTTTTGATATAGATGAATGCGTGTTGAATGGTGGGCATCCCAAGGAATACGTTGAAGTCAAATAAGTTGAAATTTATTGTGGGAATTTTCGAGCCCGGAGTCCAAGCTCGCCATCTGACACAGGGTAAAGCGAAAATGCCAAAAATTGCTGAGATTGTGAGTGCATTGGAAAATCGATAATGATATGGTGTGGCGCTTGTACCAGTGGTCTGTTGTCGTGTGTCTCATCCTGTTCGGATGGGCACGCGTCTTGCCCATTTCTCCCTGAGACTTCTGTATGAAGAATCCAACTCGATGTGCCTGTTGACTTCTTCGAGTGCATAGCCTCGAGGAATTCGCCGCCTTTCCTGAAAGGGCAGACGGTGACAATACGCCTTTAGTCTTAAGAAAAGGTGTGTCCGGTGTCCAAGGTATGCATTACGACTTGGGACAGGTGGTCTCGTCTTTTCACCGCCAATCAATGTTCGTGAATGCGCGTTGATGCGGATTTTTCCGTTTGATCACAATAAACCGCATCGCACGCTCCAAATTGGATTTTGTAAACAACTTCTTTCTTGACCCTATCCTTAGGGTGTACTAGTTGGACGCGGAGAGTCATCGTTGGCTTATGAGCCACTCGAATTTGTTGTTTCCTTAGGTTTCTGTCAACGATTTCAGCCAGTCTCTTGTATTTTAGCTAGTACCAATGTGGGGAGCAGAGTACTGCGTCTTTACCATACAAAATTTATGCTACTTGACCGATCTGCAGATCAGAGCGACAGAGGATTCGATTAATTGCTTATGACCGATCTCCTAGACCCAGTATATGGACTATGTCTGCCTTATTCGAGCTCATGTTTGTGTTTCCGGTCCCTGCTCGTAGTCAGAGTTATGTACTTACTTACTTGTACTTGATTCGGCTGTGATCTTGCCTAAACTAGCCGACTTTAATGATGTCACGCGTGACGATTGGCAGTTGCGGCGGATCTGGAAATCTCCACGCATTTTTATCTCCAGCGACGGAAAACAAAAACTGAAGTGCCATGAACCGCTTCCACGTCTTGACGAATTGGGTAGAGCCAGGTCTTGGGTTTTCCTCGTCTCCGACACCTCCAGATGGGTTGCGTCGCCGAGTCGAGGGCAGCAGGACAACATTTGTGAGACGGACGAAGGAGAACCACATCGGTCGTCTTTCTTGGATGGCCTGAGATATCCGCGCGGTACTGTCGCAGTGGTAGTGATAGTGGTAGGACGATAGAATAGACATTCACAGCCACTTCGTTGGGGCTTATGCCGCAATAATATTTGCACTTTGTCATATCGCCCTTTTCGCAGACGGGTATAAGGAAACCCAACCCCAACCCAACCATATCGGTCGTCTTTCTTGGATGGCCTGAGATATCCGCCCGGTACTGTCGCAGCGATAGTGATAGTCGTAGGACAATAGTTAAGATCCTCACGGCATCTTCGAGGGGCTTATACCGCAATATTTCTTGTATAAGGACGCCCAACTCCAGCCATTTGGAACAACTTCATCGCTCCATGCTTGTTCAATCACCGCATGCAGCCAGGGCGCTAGAGTGCCAACACAGCACTTGTAGCTTTCAACGAGAATGCCGTACGCCTTGTTGGTGCACAGCATCGTTAACTTTGCTTTCAGAGGGGAGGTCACGCTACACTGCATAGGCTGAAGAGGAGTAAAGCCTGCTCTTGAGACGAGGGCAGCTGTGATCATTGATTATCAAAGTTGACGAGGTTCTCGAAGTGCTCACACTAGCGATCGACTTTGGCCGAGTTGTCAGCAATAAATCCACCCTTCACATCGCGAACAGAGTCACATAGTGTCAAGGACTACCGCTAACTCGGCAGATAATTTGGTAGAGTTTTCTAGTGCGCGATCATCTGAGGCCTACTCCATGGAAGTACCCGGTTCGGACCAATATTTCTGTTGGTCATCCCTACCAGACTTTGCTGTCAGCTTTCAGAGTTGGCGGAAGGAATCATCGTTGCGGGACCTCGCTCGAGCCGTCTAGGCAGGCAGCTGCAGAGTCTTTCCACCGATTAGTTGCTGCGTTGCATCCAAAGATTTTTTCAATTGTCCCATGAACGGATGTCTTCAGTGATGACCATTTGCCTATGCCCTCACTGTCGGTTCGAGTCGTAAAACAGGACCGGGTGTGTCTGTGCTTAGGGTCTTTGCAGTGTTGGGTTGCACTTGGAATTTTTGGCGCAGATGAGTGGTGAACGTGCAGGCGTTTGCGAGCGAACAAGAACATCATCAGACCCGTGGATGTTGCCAGTTTTGGCACCACACATCGACCTGCTATCGTGGGCCCAACTGTGGTACCTTTAACCAATCAGAATGCAATCGGTCTGACTGGTGGTGTGGTCGTCGTTTGAATTTCCAGTCAGCTGATGGCTGTGACGATGCTGAACGTATGCGTTGGTGACAGACAATTGATTCTGATCAGCAAAATGCAAAATACTCTCACTAAGCCCAAAACCACCCATAAGGCGACTGTTGGACGTGTCTCCGGACCCAGTCCGGCCATTCCATTCTCCGGCAACAATCGACAGATTACGGCGTGTCAGTATCTCATTTTTTTGTCCGGTTGTAGTGGCTCTGGTGTAATGCAGTGTCTGTGTCAAGCCTCGCCTCTCAGACTCGAATTAATGAAGCCTGATTGCCGTGCTGCAAATGCGTTACACAAGTAGACCAGGCCTTCTTCTAGGTCTCTAAAAATATCCATGTTTTTGTTCAAGCGACATCTGGAGTCGTCAATAGGATCTGGTGCAGCTGGTGAGAAAGCAACTATGTCGGCGAAACTGAGGATGCGCGAACATGCGGTAGAAGTGAGGAAGAAGGACGCTAACTATCAGATAGGGGTTCATGAGACGGATCTGGTTGCACACAGGCTGTAGAACGAGTGAACCGTGAAATGCTTGGGTCATGGTTTTATGGCTCGCAGTCGATTAACAAGCGCAATGACCTAGCGATTTAATATTTAGTGCTGAGAAATTGCCTAGATGGCATAATTAACCACGTGGGGGGCCAAACGTTTCCAATGATAGCAAGCCACAAAATTAAGAATGCCGATTAAATTTCGATAAATTAGGACTGGGTGTGGAGTGACGAGCAATCATCGTGTCATTTACGTCCACTAGCGGGAGCAGATAATCGAATTAGGCACGTAGCAGCATGAACACTGCCTCTTGTAAATACTGCACTCCTGGCGCCCTTATAATCCCCATCTGCGACTGGCTCTGATGATAGGTTCGGTCGATAATCCAAAACGTCAGGTAAATAAACACCATCTTCCGGCGATCACGTCTTCCTTTCCTGAACTGCTTCCTGGAACTCACATGGTCGTTTCTATCAGCAGTATGGTAGATGCTGGTGTGACGGGGCTCCTATGGCTTGCTATTTAAGTCTTTTTTTTCGCTCGCATGTGCAACAATTTCATCATCGTAAAAGAGGACATCCACCGCGTGAGCACAGCACCACTTGATTTCCGCGGACTGAATCAGACTTACACTGCATCTACCGCACTTCCCCCCCCCTCACCTACCAGGCTCTGACAGGAAGACAATGTCAATAAGACCTATGACGGACTTGGACTCAGTGGGTGACAAGTCAAGGCAGGCAGTCTTCGCGTACCACACACTCGCCAGACCACCGTGAAGCCGATACGAATCTCACGTGTGTGTGAGGATGCCACCATGGCTTCATTCCGAGGG